GAGACGTAGCCTATAAAAAAAAAAATGTTGCAAGTATACAAAATGGAGCCCCTAGTGTTTGTGGTCACCGAACCATGAATTTGTGGGTTCTAGTTGTCGACACTGGACTGTAAGTGTCGTGTGAACTGTTCAAGCGTCACATGCTCAATATATTACAACCATATATCCCCCGAGATGTATGGTTGTTTGAAATCCCTCCAAACCACCACATCATTTCAGCTTTGTAGACCATTATCTCTCGTATGTTTTCTAGCTTTTTTTGTATGTCATACCAAAAATCACACAACCTACTTCCATAGTGACAAAATAAATTTTAAAATAAAAAATTATATTTTTTTCGATGTTACCTATATGCCGCATGATTCTCCTATACCCTCTTCGCAACATTGTCATGTGCGCTATCCCACTCAAACTTGTGTTGTGTATAAATAATTTATTTAAAATAAAAATAGTACGAGATATAAGATTATAAAAATAATTTACTAAAGATAAGCTAGAAATTAGAAGTTAACATCTACCTATAATCTTCGAAACCATGCATCAATATAAGGTCTTCAATTGAGATGTTTGAAAAATTGGCTCTATTGAAATAATAGAATCTCCATTAACGATTTAAACGCCGATGTTATTACTCGGGTGGTCTCAATGTTTGTGAACTTGACAATAAATAAAACTAATAAAATATTAATTAGTTATTCATAAATTATGTTATAAGTATAAAAAAAACTAAAATCGAAACAAACTTACATTGAACGGTCATCCTTTCCATGTGCCTGGTACTTGCGAGTGAATTGACTCTATTGTGAAGGCACACTGCCTCTGCAATATGAAACTGTGCTAGAAGAGGCAACATTGCGAGTGAGTGCCCTCTTCTTGATCGCCACTTAAGGATAAGTCATCATCGCTGCTAGAAGAATTAGTTGCAACCATTTGCTGATGATGTGTTATTGATTTCATTCTATGCATTTACACAAATTTATACGAATAATTACATAATTAAATTTGATTATTTAAAAAAGTTCAGCAGCACCTCCCCTATACTGGAGACTACCTAAAGTTTTCAAACCTGTAAATATTGACAATAGCTACAAACCAATTGACTCCATTGAAAAATTTTATATATAACCTAGCATCTATATAAATTTAACAATAAAATAAAGCAAAAAATAACATTTAATTTTATATATTCAACTAACATCTATAGAAATTCATCAATAATAATTAAAATTAATGGAAATAATCAAACACATATCAAGCAATAATAGCGTAAAATTGAGATAAATTAATTAAATTTAATCTTATATTTTCAATTACTAACGACAAGTAAATTCAAGAATAACAATTAAAATTCAACAAGATAATCAATTACTATGGCAATAAAAATAATAAAATAGACAACAAATTAAAAAAAAACTATAGGCTTATTAATGAAAAATGGTTACTTTAATAGTGTATTTATTTCTAGACTTTATCTACATATAATAAAAGAAAACCAAAAAAAATATATTGTTATTTTTATATCTTTATATCGTTTTGATATCTTAATATCAAAAATAATTTTTAAAAAAATTATTATTTTAATATATTTATAAATTTAAAATATTTAAAAAACAATTATTATCTCAAAACAAATTATCCCGAGCGACAATCTCAATACAGGGGCTACAAAGGAAGGCTAACACATCATCACTTGCTAATTAATGAGATTAGTATATATAAATCATGGATTACAAAATCAAATGTTTATTAGGAAATGTTTGACAATACAATTTAAAATCCCCACTAGTCAGGGGGTCAATAATTCCATGAAGGAATACTAATAGAAAAATAAGAAATGATGTTCTTTCATGCCTCCATCATTGCCATTAACTAGTAAGAGTAGTCCGAAAAGAAACGAAGGTTATATAAAAACTTTGTCCACGCTTACTTTATATAATGTAAATTAAAAAATTATTCCAAATGGCGTCTTAGATTTTTTCTCATCCACTAAAAAACCATAAGGAAATCAACGCCTATGCGCAGCCTTAAGGTGAACATGGGTTTGGGTAAAATTATAAATGGAGTTTTTAAAAAATACTTTCTTATTTTTATATATATCTACTAAGTGAAGTCTTGAGCAATTTTTATTTTGTATTATTAAACAAGAGAAATCTTTATTTTATAAAATATAATTAATAAATATACTTTATTTATTTTTAAAAAAATTATTAAATAAAAATATTAAATTATTATCCGTGATATTCATATGTTCTAACTAGCTCTGCAAAAAAATAAGAGATTTTATATATATATATATTATGATTTTCAAAAATATTAAACCTATTCTATATCATAACTTTGGTTATAAATAATATGAATTAACTTGAATCAATTAAATTAATATTATTTTAAAAAAATAAAAATAAAGTTTTAATCAAGACAATAAAATTCTTAAATATGACTTAATTACTTTCCAATTTTTTTTAATTCATTGGATTGAAGTCCAAAAATTTTAATTATAAATGCATTGACAATTATTGTGCCAAAAATCAAGATGATAGATAATATTTTCTCAATCACATAATACTCTTTTTTGTCCGATCTACCATGACTTTTTATTTATTTTATAACTCATCACAGCCACCCTCTAGCCTCTACCCCTACCTTCAAATTATCCGAATAAAATTAAGAAAAAAAAAAGAACTCAAAAAGGCCATAAAAATAAAAATAAAAGATTTGCTCTCTACATTAAAAATTGAAAGAAAAATAGCAAAAGCCGGGACCAGATTCTCACTCTTCATTCCTATGTGCAAACCCATTTAATTTACTGTGTGATTGATAGTAAAGTTGAAAATACTTATTTAAAATCATTTTTATCTTAATTAATGTAGTTTTTATGATTTTAACATTAATTATATTTTAAGAATAAGTCTTTCGTATTCGCCTTTTAGGCATACTATTATCGTTACCAAACTAAGTTGTAGCTCTGATTTTTTAAAGTGGTTTTCTTTAAAAAAATAAATTAATTATTTTTAATTGTTATTGTGTAATGTAATTTAGGGGGGAAATCATTTTTAAAAGTATTTGGTGCATAATAATTTTTAAAAGTATTTTTTATTTAAAGAATATATTAAAATTATTTTTTTATTATTTTTATTTTTAATATCAGCACATCAAAATAACTTTAAAAGTATTAAAATAATTTTTTTAATTTTTAATATCAACACATCAAAATAATTAAAAAATACTAAAAAACATATAAATTTTATTTTTTTTTCAAGTAAAAGATACTTTTAAAATGCATCAAAAACATAGAAGTTTAGGCAAAATTAAATATAGTCACTTAATTAGAAACTATTGTATCATGGGTCTATTTGGGAGTTTGATGAATATTGATTTTCAAAGTATTTTTTATTCAAAATATATTAAAATAATATATTTTTATTTTAAAAAATGACATTAGCGCATTAAAATAATAAAAAAAAATTAAAATTTTTTAAAAACATAATTTGAGTTAAGTTTCAAGCACATCCTTAGACCTCTGGGACTGCATTTGTATTAGAGTTTCAATAAAATTTAAAAATGTTTTTATTTAAAATTAATTTTTTTATGTTTTTTAGTTTTTTTGATATGTTGATGTCCATAATTTTTTTTAAATAAAAAAATATTATTTTATACAATACTTAGAAACACCCCTTAACCATACATACATACATACATACATATATACATACATACATACATGTGTGTGTGTGTGTGTGTGTGTGTGTGTGTGTGTGAGAACGAAAAAATGAAAGAAAATGAAATTTCCAGGAAGAGAAGGGCTGGGAAAAAGGGGAAAGAGAAAAATCAGCGAGTCAAACTAAAACAAAATGCAAAGAAAAGTCAAGTAGAGGTGAGGTGAGAGATCCTCGAGATTAATGCACATCATATTTGTTTATTTTTATATTTTAAAAATACTTTTAAAAAAATTTAAAAATTTTATTAATATTAAATTAATATATTTTTAAATTATTTTAATATACTGATATAAAAATTAATTTTTAAAACATAAAAAAAATATTATTAACATATATTTTGATATAAAAATTCATTTGATTATATATTTTGATATAAAAATTTATTTGAAAAACAACTATTTCTTGATGGCATCAATTAATGTAGATCGCAGTGGCCAAGACTGTTTTATTAAGAGTGAAGCTGTAAAAAACATTTTATTGTTCTGATTTTTTTTAACTTGGAGGATAAATTAGTTATTTTATTGTTTTTAAAAAGTAAAAAGACACCTGTACCCCTAACAATTCTTTAATAACTAGTCAAACGATGGAAATGACTGTATTATCCCCCAACATCAACTCACCTCATTTTTCCTTAGAGAGCAAAATCATAATCTTACCATAGCAATGAATAGTGTTTTGTGTTAGAGGGACGTTTTTAGTTAATTATTTTGAAAGTAAATAGGGCGGTTGCCTTGTTTGAAACTAGAGACATTGGCTGCTAAAGGGATAGCTTAATAATTAATTAACACCATATTGCAACGGGAAGCTGTCCACTGCAACTGGAAGCGGATCAGACACTGTTTGCAATTTACTGTCATTATCTTTCTTTATCCATGTGGTGAAACGGACGAGGAAGGGATGAGATGAGACACGGTTCACCGTTTTGAAATGCAAAAGTTGCTCCAAGTTGCCTTATTTACGAATAAAACAGTGTTGCCATTGTTGATTTGCTTCTTGAAATGATTTACAGATGAGACACGGTTCACCATTTTTTTTTAGCAAAAAAGCAAGTGGGTTTTAAAGAAATGTGCAAACGCCAACAAACGAAGTAATCAAACCCAAATATAGAAGGGAGCGCTGTCATTATTTAGCAAATCCAGCGAAAGTAATCTTGTGACTCTACCAGTGACAAGTGAATTTAACTTGTAAAAGGAGTACCTATACTTGTTGGGGGGGGGGGGGGGGGGTGTGGGGTGACAAAAATATTCATAGCTCACATTACAAGTTGCATTATTTAAGAATAAAATTGTGTTGCCATTGTTGACTCGTTTCTTGAAATGATGTCCACTTGACTTTTTATTTATTTATTTAAAGACTCGACATGCCATGTAGGCTAATTGGCACTCTAAAATGCATGCACCATCAAGACCTGCATAATATAGAAATTTCGCTATTTTTCTTTCGGTTTATTTCTTCAAGTAATATTTTGTTTCTGTGATTATGGCTACTGGGCAAGCACCAGGCAACCCCATTCCAGCTATGAGAAAATACCAGCCGGTAGAGCATCCAGTGGTGGTAATAGGGCCACAGTACCTGGCACAGTACCCTGTTGAGCTCGCCGTCAACAGTGATTTTAAGGTGTCTGACATTAATGGCACCCTCATCTTCCAGGTCAAGATTAAACTATTAAGCCTTAATCGTCGTTTTCTGAAAGATGCAGCATTAATAAAATAATTAAAAATAATTATTATTAATATTAAAAAATATAATTTTTATATGATAAATTTTTAAAATAATTTTTATAAACCCACCGTGCAGGCGGGCATCCAACCTGTAAACTACAATAACAAATCAGCTTGAAAAAGAATCAACTGGGGTCTTTCTTGAGGGTAATTCATTGATTTCTGAACCACTCGAGTCGGAGCATGTGATGATGGGGCTAAGGCACAGCTTGGATATGTGAGTCAATTTCTTGCTTAATTTTCTCTCTGAGATTATTGTTTTCAGAAAAAAACAATAGTGAAAATGAAATCCTCATGAGTCTCTTATTTTAAAATGAATAGGAAAATTGTACTAAAAATATTTTAAAAATAGATTTATTTTTAAAATATAATTAATTCCTCGAATACACGCCATAAGATTTTTCCCAGTCCACCCAAAGACGCCACCCCCCCCTCCCCCCCTGCCAGAAAACAAAAATGTCTTTGTTTAAGCGTTCTATTTTCAAAATATAATTAATTCCTCGAACATACGCCATGAGATTTTTCCCGATCCAACCAAAGAATCCGCCCCCCACCTTCCCCCGCTGCCAAAAAAAATCAAAGATGTCTTTGTTTACGCACAAAAATGAACTTTCAAAGAAGGAAGAGGACAGTGTCAAGAAGAATAATTCATCTAATTAGAATTTAAATTTATTTTTTAATGATTATTTATTTGAGTTTTTATGGATTTTAGAATGACTTGATATTTATATAATTATTAATTTTAAATTTTATAAAATTAATTGAGATATACAGGGATAATATAAATATTCATATTAATAATAATAAAAAATCAAAGACTTTTTTTTTTGTTTTATTTAAGGACATGATATAGGGCTACTTGGCACTATAAAATACGTACATCATTCCTCCCACAGACTACTTCTATAACCATCATCAAGACTTGCATAATATAGAAATTTAGCTATTGTTCATTCTGTTTATTTCTTCTAGTAATATTTTGTTTCTGTGATTATGGCTACTGGGCAAGCACCATTCAACCCCGTTCCAGCTATGAGAACATACCCGCCAGTGGAGCATCCAGTGGTGGTAATAGGGCCACAGTACCTGGCACAGTACCCTGTTGAACTCGCCGTCAACAGTGATTTTAAGGTGTCTGACATTAATGGCACCCTCATCTTCCAGGCCAATAGTAAACTATTAAGCCTACATAATCGTCGTTTTCTGAAAGATGCAGCCGGTAACACCCTTGTCAATCTCAGGCAGAAGGTATGTTTTATTGCTCTTTGTCATTTGTTCTCTTCTTTTTCAATCTAACCATCACAACAACGATAAGAGTAAATCCGATATCAATTTCTTACCGCGGGTTTAATTTATCAATTTCTCCAGCTAAGGACCATGCATGGGAGGTGGGAGGCTTTTAGAGGAGAAAGCAAGGAGAAGAATGATTTGCTTTTCACAGCCAAGAAACCAAAGCTGTTCCAATTCAAGACTGAGTTAGACGTATTCTTGGGTAATAACAAAGGAGAGGACCCTGATTTCAAGGTCAAAGAAGGCTACAGCCAGAGTTCCTGCTCTATATTTCTTGGAGATTCCAATACCATGCTTGCACAAGTAACATTAACAAAACTTATTTCTGGATTATGACAATATTGAATAAATTTAACCAACATCATCTTCTCATATAGAACTATATGTCTGTGGCTGAGGCTGTCGTAGAAATACCCCAGATTTCATTACATCATTTACATTAAAACCGATTATTGTTTTAATCAAGAAAGTTGTCTTCATAATTAATATCTCATGCCAGTATTTTTCTTATTATGTGAACGCAGGTGCATGGAAGACATACTCTCGCGATTATGCCTAATGTTGATTATGCCTTCATAGTGGCTCTTGTGGTGGTAATTCTCGACGAGATCAATGCGGATGATGATGGGGACGCCATCTTGGAGGGTTTTGTCGATGGTATAGCTAGTGGAGTTATTCCATCGGCATAAAAAAACACATTTTGTTAGTAAAAGTCACAGATAGAAATTGCCTATGACATATAAATCGTCAGTAATTTCTTTTTATATAGTTAATTTTATCGGTAAAAAAAATAAATACTAACAGTTGTGCAGATAAAAGAAATAAACCAAAAAAATTTAACTGAAAATATTTTGACGAAATAATTCAGTTTATATTTCTAACAGTATCTCACTAAAAAAAGGGTTTTGTCGGTAAATATGATATATATAGTAAATATTTTGAAACTCTTTGTAAAATATTAATGGTCTTTAATTGTTGGTGTAGACATCAATGATAATAACATATACAGTAAATATTTTTCAATTCTATATAAAATACCGCGAACTATGTCTGTCTAAAAATCCATTGGTTGTGATTTAAAAAAAATAAAAAATTATTAAAAATAAATTATATAAATTAATAGTAAAAAAACAATTATGCAAATAAAATTGTATGAAACATTAAAAGTATAAAAATAAAGTTAAATAATATTCATCTAAATATTCATTATAAATTTAATATGTTTCAAAAAAAATTAAACTAATATAATGACGAAGCTGGAGAAGGAGAAGGAGGAGGCTTGGAAACAAACAACCAAAAAGATGGCGCATATGTATCACTTATCTATAATCTAATGAGTTGTTCATAATCCGTCGAGAGTCACTTATATTGTTGTTTCAAGGCCATAAACTCTTCAGAATGGGTGCTCGATGCTAATTGGAAGCTCCCAACGATGAAGACACTACAAGTTGTTTGTAAGTTTTCGATCATAGTATTAGAAAACTCATGGTAACTATACGTTATCGAACATAAAAGAAAACATTCTTTGCCAAAACAAATTAATAAAGCATGCAAAGTTAAAGTGATTTTGCATTTTTAAAATGTTTTTGAAAATATTCAAAAAATATATTTTATTTATTTATTTATTTTAAATTAATATTTTTTTATATTTTTAGGTCGTTTTAATATGATAATGTTAAAATAATTTTTTAAAATAAAAATTATTATTTTAATATATTAAAAAAACCTTTAAAAAATCATCATCATATTTCCAAAAACTTTATTTTATTGATGTTTTAATATTTAAGAGATGATATAGAAGTGGATGAAAAAAGGGAAGGAGAAAGAAAATGACATGTTGACCATATATTAACAATAAAATTAGCTAATTTTGGTGTCAATGTGTGTAATTTTATGAGAGGGGTGCAATTAAGGTGTTTTTTATCCTTTATTTTGTCATGAAAAGTAAATCAATGCTTGAGATTTTTTTTATTCAGGTTATTTTTTGTATTTTTTGATAGATTAAAAGGTGGTTTGAGATTAGAAACTAATTTATTAAGCCTTCTGAGATGTTTATTAGATATTTTCAAACAAAAATAGCTTTTTTATGTCAAATAAAAGGAATTTGATTTTCCAACCACCTCATACGATTAGAATTTGTGCGGGTAAATAATGTGTCATTCATTTGACATTATTGACGACATATTATCTACTTTGCTTTTAAGAAAAAGGATGGATGACTTATCATCCTCTTTGCAAGCAAGTTTTGCTTGAAATCTCACACATGGCTCATCTTTTTTAATAGAGTCAGCCAAATAGGCCCACCCAACTTAGTTGTTTTGGTTTTGTTTTAATATTTTTTAAATTTAATTAAAATCAATGATACTAATATAATTGATAAGATATTTAGGATGTTATTTCATTAAATACAATTTAATTTTAACTTTTTTTAAAATAATTGTTTATATATATAATTTCAAATAATTTTTTACATATATAAGGTTCGCAATGAATCTTTTTCACTCAATGTATTTTATGATAATTTTCTTCTCTTAAAGTTTAATCAAAATTCATTATAATTAAATTTACTGTCATTTATGATTATTTTCTCTTAAAATTTAGTCAAAATTCATTATAACATATAATTATATTATATTTAAAATATTTTTCTATTAAACATTTATTTTCAGACAAGATTATCACTTTTTTTATAATATTAGTGAACATTTCATTGATTATTATATAAGAACCTATAAATTTATCAAATATCTTTATTATTATTGAAACTTACTTTTCATATGATACTAAATCTTTAATTTTTTTATTAAAAAAACTTGATAAAAAATATTTTTATTTAAAAATACATATAATTTTCAATTTATTTTATTAAATATACTCATCAACTCTTCAATTCATAATTAGATTTTTTTTTCATGATATTAAAAAACCACATTAACAACACCTACCTCACATTTTTCTTCGTTAAAAATTAACTTTTAATCCTGCCGCGGCAGACAGCTACAAAAGTTGGCTAGTCTGAGAATCGAGAATAGATTTCTTTGTTTTTGTCCTTTTTCCCCTGAATCTGCACATTTTACTACAGTAACTGTGATACATGGATCCACAGATCATCAACTCCCTTCCTAACACAAGAAAAAGTAATGGAATCTCATGCAACTAAAACCATTCAACACTCCAAATGGACAAACTCTAACCCTTTCAGACAGTGAATTTCCAAGCCGTTCCACTAGCATACTGTCAGCTGTCCGTCAGCACATATTTCAAGCACATATTTAATTAACCCGTATCAGTTCAAAAGCCATGGTGTTGATACTGCACAAACCCAGCTTTTGTAGAGAGAAGTTACCTGGAACCCATTAAAGTCTGTCAATGATGGAGAACACAAATGTCTCGGACCATTTTTGCTTTATGAATTCCGGGACCAAAGAATCGTCCATGAAAGGATTCCATACAATTCCACCAGGACCACTGAGGACCCATTTTATTTTGGATGGAATGCTGGAGGGATCTAGCATTGAAGTTTCAACCTTCTTCCTAGAAACATGTTCCTTCTGAGAACTGGAGCTTTTGGAAGGCTGCAAATCACGAATGAACAACCAATGCTTATTTATATCACGAGTTCAGATTCTAAATTATAAGCTCTACAAAAAATGGAGAAGGTTTCAATGTCTTGGGCATGGTCTGATGGCTGTCAGTAAATTTATTAGATTCTCAGAACCAGAATTATGCCAGTCAAGCAAAACATGACAATCTCCAAAAGAATCTTCAACTTTCAGTGATACAACCACATTAATATCATCTGTAAAATAAGTCATACTTTACTCACAATAAAATTATCTCCGGCTTTTAGTGCTTCCAGTGTAGCTATGTGCTCTTTACCTTCAGTAAGGTATTTCTCAACAGAACTCGGGGAACGGAATCGCTTCCTAGTTTCCGGCTCAAAGTAGTGCTGCACAACAAAGTAGCATTTTTCATGATTCTTACTTCCACATGCAATTCAGAGGAAATACAGAACTCTGCAACTTCCACTGAGAAAAATCTCCTTCGCCATATCAATAGAAGAATTGACAAATACACAGGAACTCAACTTACGAAACTCTGTATTCAGACAGACAACCACCAACCAAAAGTACATCTCTATTGTGGACGGTGGTGTAATAAGATTGAATAGAGCATATTTAGTATTGGAGCAAGAAAACTACCTCTGCGCACTTGATAATTATTTAACACCTCAGTAGATATTTTTACTACATGCATCTGTGATCAAGAATCAAAAGGACCGAAGGTTCAAGAGAAGCAATCAATTAAACCAAGACGAGAAATTTAAGAGAACAAGACTATGAGAAACTGGGAATGTAGAGATAAGAAATCAATCTGTTTTATTCAACATCATACCTATTGTTACATCATGAATCAGCTTCGTACTCAGTATGAAGAACCAAATAACAAACTAAAAATATGGAACCCATAGAAGTAATGAGAATAACTGCCACATCATGATAACAATTTGTTATTCATCTTGCCAAAAAGCATCCAAACAGTTTCAGGAACTTCTTCCAAGTTTTCTTGTAACATTTAACTTTATTGGGTGGATATTGAAGTTCTGGAGCTTGGCTACCACCAATCATCAACAAAGATATTCAGTTTATGCACACTGTTTTAACCCGGAATTCACCAATAGCTTTAACATGCACATATCAAGATGCCCTTAGCAACAAAGATATGGACTGAAGAAGCAAAAGGTAGGGTCCAAACAGTACCTTGTCAATAATACCTGCATAATCCATGTTATCGTGTGGCTTTTTCTCAACAATCCAACCATTAGGCAGATCGATCAATGAGCAGCTTTTGAAAATGTATGGATCGATTTGTATCCTATTTATCTTTCTTGCTTATTTAATGCTAATGGTCCAATCTAATTCAGACTAAATAGGAAACAAAAAGTCCTCTGACATTCAAAAACAAAGTTCCTCTGAAATTTAAAAAACCTTAAGTCTTGAGTTGCTGATACTCCACAACAGTAAAACAAGGAAATATTAGAACTCACATTTTTTTTATTGCCAGGTTTAGCACTCTTGGATGTTTCTCCACTCAGGTGTTTCTGGATAGATATCAGCGAACAAAATCGCTGTCCAGCCCCAGGCTCATAGTGATACTGCATATTAAGATGAAAGTTACACTAGTTCAATGAAGATGTCTTGCCGCTAGAACAAAGTTCAATGAAGTAATCTTCTGTCATGACGAATACATGCATTTTAAGCAGTATTATAGCGGTAATAGCTAACAATTTAAGCAGCTTAGCTTCAAAAGTGAGAAATATATCAATGAAAGGAGACATAGCATAAGAAGTTTCATTGCAAACGACATTGAAATATAAGAACTTAATGATAAAAGACAGGACAGATCAGTCTGATGGAAAATTGAGTCCATTATGGATCAAAATGACCATGCAGGTGTCATATTATAATCAGGATTGCAAGGGCTGCAATTATCTGAAATCCAAGGTGCAATTTTAACAAGAGTTTTAGTTACCTAGTCACTGTGACCTCCAACAAATGTATGTATAATGCCTTGAGGTCAGCATTTAAATGAAGCAAGGTGGTGGTTAAGTGGTAAAAATTTAAAATTAAGGGGTTTCTTACTTTTATAGTCTCAAATTCGAGTTCTTGGTTGCTCATACGATGATTACTGGAAACTTACATGATTATTAACTTCAGAACTCATGGAATTAATCGTGATACGCGTAAACTAGTCCAGACACAAAAAAAATATATGTGTTAACAAAAATGGTGCACTGAATGAAGGCTGCCATTTCATCGACCCAACTAATCTGTGGGTGGCATAATCTGTGGGTGGCATTGTGTATATGGATTTAAGATTGATACATTCATTTGGTGCATTGATTTGAAAAGGGGTACTGTTGCTCTTGAATCATTTGTTTCATGGAGTTCTCTAAGATATGAGAGTATGAGACTATATAGTAATGAGGAACCGCATTGGCATTATTAAAAAGGCTTCATTTTGTGCCTTCATGCCAGAAAACAAGAAAAGCATCATCAGCATTTTGATGCTTTACTAATTTACCATTAGAAACTGCGGAAGATCCAAAAGGGTACTAATCGTTGTTTGGACTATGATGTTCGAGACCAGATACCGTGTTGCTCTCCACACCCCGGACCCCGAAACAGTACCCAAGTTTTCCCAACCTATACTCATCATTTTCAAGTTAACGAGAAACTCAAATCCTCGAAAAGTCCACATCGCAACCCGTATATCAATTCAAATACTGGCGCACACCAGGCAACACGGCACCACCATAACCACCCACGTTTGCTTAAACACTTCCTATTGGCGTGAAGTTAAAAATAATATATATATTTTTGAAATTTTCACTATGTTTGCTAATGCTACTTCGTCAGAAAAATTTTGGGTATAAAGGAGAAGTTCGAACCTAAGACAACTAGACCTCACAGGCGATGGGGAAATGGGTGGCGCTTGAAGACCGGATCACCAATGCATGCATTAGTGTAAACACAAATGTAGAAGTACTTCGTTCACACTATATCTATGGTAAGCAAAAGCACGGCAAAAGAGAAGGTCGGTATACTTTGAATTGGTGAAAGGAAAACAATCAATCACCTTGTCATTATGGCCACGGCGGTTGCCGCGTTTGCTGCGGCAGCGTCGCACGACGACCCAATCATTTGGGAGTTTGAATTGGTGGTAAAGGGTGGCTGATACCTGTAATTCGTTATTTTGATTTTGGGACGAGATTTTCGCGTCCATTGACTCTTGGTGGAAGCTATCTGATTTTGATAAGAAAAGCTTTTGAGGAAATATTTACTTGGGGCTTCAAGATTTTAAGATTGTGTGTGTGAGAGAGTGATTTTGAGTTACTCATAGATTTTGTCTTGAACTTTTCTATTTGTCACTTCTTCGAGCGGTTTCCACGTGTCTTTTATAGCACTGATCCATAGTATCATTGCGGTTGCTGCGTTGCGGGTCGAAGAAAAAATTCCAAGCATTACTATTACTAGTATATTTTCCAACAAAAAAAAATTATTCATAGATTTAAAATATAATATATATTACAAATATTTAAAAAAATACAATAATATTTTATTTACAGCTAGATCATGATATAATAATAATTTTATAAAAAAATAAATTATTAAAATTATTTTTAATTAATTCAATATTAAATAAAATAATAATAATTAATAAATAACAGAAAAAATACATGTGATAACTTGTCAAACCAGAAACTCAAATCATGAAATCAAGATAATACTATAAAAAATAAATAAATAAAAGCTACAAAACTCAATTTTTAAACAATTTAATATTTAAAGATGAAGTCGAAAAAAAACTCAATTAAAAAATAAAAAAATAATTTAGGTTAACTTACTAAACTTGTTATTTAAATCATGAGATGGGAATAATTTTGTAAAAATTAAATAAAAAGATTACAAAGTTTTATTTTCAACAAATTCAATATTGAAGATTGAAATCGAGAAAAATAAATAAATTCTTAAGACTCGAATAACTCCATATAATTCAAATTAAAAATAATTTGTGAAATTCAATTCTCCAAGAACTTTATATTGAAGGATGAGATTGAGAAAAAAAATTAAATAAAAAAATTGAGTATTTTAAGGGTGAAATTAAAAAAAAATCAATTAAAAAATCCAAAAAATAAATTGGATAAACTTGCAAACTCACGACTTGAATCATGAAATCGGAATAAACTTATAAAAAAAAATACAAAATCCAATTTAAAAATGATAAAAAAAAAAAAACAAAGTTAACTCAGGTTAATCTATTAAACCTGCGACCTCTGTTATGAAAATGAAATAACTCTATAAAAAGCAAATTAAAAAAATTACAAAACTCAACTTCTAACCAATCCAATATTAAATGATAAAATAAAAAAATTATTTAAAAAAATTACTCAAGTTAAACTGGATTAAATTGTTAAACTCATGATATAGATCATAAGATTTTACTAAAATTCATAAAAAAAAACATAAAATAAAATTATAAAACCTTAGTTCAAGCAATAATATTGAAAGCTAGAAGAAAGAAAAAAATAAAATTTATAAAACCAATATATACCCCAATAAAAAAAATCAAAAAAATTATAAAACACAATTTATAAAATAACTTAATATGAAAGGTGAAAAAAAAAACACAATAATATTTTGTGAATATAGTTTGGTTTAGCCACATCCTTTAATATTTTGTTAATCATCCTTCATCATTGTATTAATTAATTAGTTTTTTTTATAATGTAGTACTTATCAATTCATTTTCTCTATATAAATTTATAATTTTATATATTAGTTAAAATGTTTCTTTTATACTAATACTATACTAGTTGAAAATAATATATTTATGCTTAAATTAAAAGTAGAGTTCACTTTTATTTACATCATCTTATTTAAAAGTATTGTTTAATATAAATATTTTAATATGAAACATTAATATATATAAAATTAATTATGAATGAATTAAAAAATTAATTTTAAAAAATTATGCGGCGGCAAATTTTTCAAACCCAAAAAAAGTATTAATTCACATTGAAAGATAACATGTTTTTCAAGAGGCTCGTATAGTAATGCACTGTAAAGTCAAAATAAGGCTCGTAAAGCATAAAAGATTTCGAAGAGGAGAGGGCCTAAACAATGTGTGGGTTTTGTGTCAAAACCTCATCCACTTCTTTTGCTGGGCTTTGATTTGGGTTTAGTTTAATTGTAAAATGATTTTTTTAATTAATCTTTTTTTTCATCCAATGAACAATTACTTGTCCAAATTCAGTGAATTTATTAGGTTTCATATGTTGTATGATAAGTTTTTTCATAGTAGTTTTTGTTTAATTTTTTAAGAATTTTAACATTTGAATTAGTTTTAAATGTTTTTAACGTTTGGTTTAATGTTTAAACATTTAAAATGTCACGTTTTAATTTATTTTAAAATGCCAAAATTACTTCTTTTATTCTAAAATAATTCTGATAGTCTAGATCTCCTGTATAAATAAGAGTGAGAGGAGTCTTTAGAGTCTGTTTATTTTTATATTTAAAAAAAATATTTTTTATTTTATTTTTTATTTATTTAAAATTAGTTTTTTATTTGTGTTTTTATATATTGATATTAAAAATAAATTTTAAAAAATAAAAAAAATATTTTAATAATTACTATCACAATACTAAATGATTATTTGAAGCACATGAAACAAAAATGCTCTTTACCATCTCCCACTTTCCACTATCTTTTATTATATAATGTCTTTATTTTATTTTTAGGCTTGATTGTAATTGAGAGAAAATCGAGTCAATTTTGTAAGCTTGTATAACTTGATAGGTTATGCAATATTTTGAGATGATATTCTTGAAATGTAGAGGGGTTATTTTATGTTAAGACTATCTGTATTAAGAGATAAACCACATAGTCTTAAGAACAAATAATGTAATCATTGACAATAATTTTTTTTAATTTAAAGTTTTTCTAAATATTTTATTTACAAAGTTTAAAATCATACAAAAATCTAAAAAAGTTTAACAAAACATCATGGCCCAAAAAATAAAGAAATCACATATTAAAACAATGTTTCGATGTTTTGCCCTTGATTCTAAAAACAAAAACATCATATATTGAAACAATGTTTTGCCCTTGTTTTCGAAAACAACGAGGCTAGCTTACAGGGAGTGTTGTTATTTTTTCCACATAATCTATTAGTTATTATAAAAAACATTTGGACAAATTCATCTTATTATATTTTTTTTGTACATTAAAATTACTCAATCACCCTTCAAAACAAAAGAAGATTGATCTTGCATTTTTTTTTGGATTTTTTTCATAGTTAAATTACCAATTTCTGTTTAAAAAAAAGTTTTCATCCAAAGTTTTTTTTTGTTTATCATGCCTTGTTTGTAATAATAAAGTTCACCTAGGGGTTTCTTGGTAATTTAAAATTTTAAAAATTAGTAACAAAAAAAGTTAGAGATGTGTACATCCCCCGTGCTTTTTTGGCAGGACGTGCATTATTGTTTGATTGCGAAGCTCTACCTTTTACAAAGACATTTGAATTGTCTCAACAACCTTTTTATTATATGACGACGTGTGTGGCCAACAGGTCTGGTTTTTATGTTGAAGGCTTTTTTTCTTGCTTTCTTTCTTCTCACTCTCTACATCAAATTTCACGCCTGTTCCTTTAAAATTTCAAGACAACCTTTCAATTGTTTTCTTTTTCATATTTGATCTCTTTTCTTTTTATTCATATTTTTTTATATGAAATAATTTATCAAATTTATTTTTTTTCAATTTCATCATTCTTTAATTTTTTTTATATGTCAATTTGGTCTCTATTCTTTTAATTTATATTTATTTTTTAGGATAATTTTAAAATTGATTTTTTTTATGATTTCGTCCTCCAATAATTTTTTTAATGTAATCATTAACAAAAATATTCTTTATTTTTATTCTTTTAATCCAAATTTTGCTAAGCATTTTATTTACAAAGTTTTAAATCATACAAAAATCTAAAAGAGTTTAGCAAAACATCATGGCCCAAGAAACAAAAAAACCACATATTAAAACAATATTTTGATGTTTTGCCCTTAATTCTAAATAATGGCGGAGCCAGAGTATTTAAATGATGTGACAAATTATTAACAAATATTATAGTATATAGACATGCATTAGAAATAAATTAAAACATACATATTAATTCATATAAAGTAAAATTAATTTAAAAATATTTTTTTAAAAAAAAAAAACTTACATTATAATTGTTCTCTTTGAGTTTTCATATTTTTCATTATCAATCTTATCGAATATATCTTTTTCAATGTATACAACCAAACTATCATTCATCCACTTATCTCCCATCCTGTTCCACAATCTACTCTTGATAATATGCATAGCAGAAAAAACTCTCTCCACTGTAGCAATTGCAATTGGTATAAGTAATGATAATTTGATAAACATATATACTAATAGAAATATCAAATTCTTCTTTATTTTTATCATTTTCTCTGCAAAACTAGCTTAGATACTAGAAAACTCATCATCACCACGTAGATCAATAATATAAGTATCAAGTTGGTCACCAAGTACCATAAGGTCCACTATAGAGAATTCACTAGGATAAAAAAGAGCAAGGTGAATGAGTTTTTCTTTGTTGAAAGTAGATAAAGAGTTATTTAAGCTTAAACGTATCACACAAAGAAGTAACTCCATACTCATCTCGGTAAAATGATCATCCAACTCAATAAGTTGCATGTCAATGATATTGTTAAACAATTCATAACAGAAATGGTGTAAGTTTGTAATCCCTTGAGATTTTCGCCTTGAACACCCATGAAGCTTCAACATATCATTCATGTTTAAAATATCAATATCATGTTTGATACAAAAAGATGACACTTCTTCCAGTATAGATTCTCAATCATTCTCCCTCATCATTTTGAATCGTTTCTTTGATGTTTTCAATAAACTCATAATATTTTTTATGTCTTGATCTTTTTTTTGTAATGCTTGTGAGAACTCATTAGTAAATGCTAGTATCCTTCTCAAATAATGAAGCATGAACACAAAATTAAATGATTCCACAATACCTATTAAAATAACCGCTTTCGTTCTTTATTCTGAGTTCATCCCATTCTCCCTTATAATCTCAAGCACATCAAGAACTGATAAAATATTACAAGTAGAAGAATAATTGTAACATAGTGAGAGCCTTAACGGGTATCACCATACCTTTTAAAAGAAGTTTCTTTATTCAGGACTCGTCCACTAAAAATATCTCCATTTTCAAGTCCTTTAATAATTCTAGTATATTGTTTTTTCTCTAATCACCTACATTCTTTTACATGATGCTCCAATTATGTTTATAATGTTATAAATAAAATTGAAGCCATCTTCGACTTCATTATGC